CTCAAATACCAGCATGGTTCACACTAAAAAGAGAGGGGAGAAGAGGATGCTTGTAGTAATTCAGCTAATAAGTGAAATGATACTGAAAGGAGGAAATCTGGCCTGACTGACTGAATAGAGTGAGGGGCATGCCTGGAATGAGTAGTTACTACAAGGAGATGAAAGCAAGAAGGGAAAACGAAATTATGGCATCAGAGGAAAAAGCAGTATGGACACCCATCTGTGGGTTTTTAGAAATGCAGGTAAGGAGAGGGAGAAGCAATATGCTTGAGCACGGTGAGCTTTGCTGAGCAACCTCTCTGAAGAATACAACAGGGATGCATGAACTGCACCACAATTAGTAAAAAAGAGCAAACTAATGAGCACAAAGCCATATAGCAGCAAAGGATGTTCATTGCCTCTTATTCACTAGTGAATATGGACATTATGGAATATTAGTTAAGCTCAATATTTACAGGAATAATGATCCTAAAATCTACACTACTCTAAGGCAGAGCTGGAACTCAATTCTACCATCTCCCAAGTGAAGGAAAATCCACACTGAAGTCTGGAAATTTTGAAATTTTTCTGATATGCAGATCTGCTACCTCACATGTACTTGTTGAATTTGGATGTGGGTAGGGACAGCCATAAGCAGCTGGTCTCTGAAATTACACATTTGGTAAGCTGAATCACAGTTTCTCCTCCATATCAGAATGCAACAGGCAGTCAGACAGCAGCTGACATGCAAATACCAAAAGCAAATCACAGTAACTCAGAAAACAGAGATTAAATAAAAGCTTGCTTGTGTCTATGGCTCTAAGAAGACAGAAAATACATAACTCTGCCAGAATCCTGTCCTGCCATTTTGGGCTCTGATATGCCACAATTATTCATAACACTTCCACGTTGAAATACAGGAATCCCACAAATCCCAGCACAAAGCAACTGCTGCAGTATCCAGCCAAACCGGTGGAATCCTCCTCAGTCTCTGTTTATGCTTTCCTTTGAGTCCTCTAAACACCAGATTTTAAAACCTGACTTTTCAGTTGGTTGCTGACGGTATCCACTGACTGGAAAGCAAATCCAAGTGCCCTCTTGAGAAGAACCATTTTCGTAGTTATTGATGAAAATCTGTTTTGCCCTGGCACAGAGTAGTATTTTGCATGTACTCTCCACCAGTAACCATCTCTGAGCCTAGATATGACTATTACTCAGACTGATACCTTGTCCACAAAATTAGGGTCACATTGTTCTAAAGGAAGTGTAATTATTTTAAAGCAAGCTAATTATTTATGTATGGAAAGTTACAAGGAGTTGAGTTTAACTCAAATGCAATTTTATTTTAGAAGTCAGTCAGGAATATGCTGATACTAAACTGAAAATGAGACTATTGAATAAGGAAGTTTCAACCAAATTAAATACAGCAAGTTTTTATATAGGTAGGCCTATGAAGGCCACACTTTGAGCAATAATTTACTCCAATTACTTTAGTAAATGTAGCAATTTCACACTAACTACATTTAGAGATGCTTTAGAGGATCAGGAATGGTTTATATTCAAATCTTATCCTACCTGAGGACTTAAAGTCCATAGAGTGACTCATGAGAAGCTTATTTAAATACCTTTTTTTTCAGGAACTCATAATATTTTTCTCACATACAAACCTTCATTTGATATGAAAAATCAGATTTCTTTCTACAGCTTTAACTGAAAATGAAACCCAAGCTCCAAGTAAAGACAATTCTATTTTTAAGGCTGACATCACTAGCACATAGAAGAGCCACTCACTTTTCTTGCCCAGGCAGTTGAATATAATTATACTCTGCTTGCAAACAGTTATTTCAGAAACCTTCAATTTTTGGTGTAATGTGTATCAATTAACATAGAATCCTGTTTTAATGAGAACAGCATTTAGAAATTGAATAAATCACTCTTTAGAATATCATGGACAAAACTCTGTTGCAACAACAAAGAGAAAAAAGCAACAAAACCAGATCTCAGTATGCAGACTCCTAGCTCTTTGAATGAGAAGACAGACACCAAATCCAAAGACAACACTAGGTCTATATCAAGCCTTTCCCACTCTAATCACGGCAGCCAGACATAAACACACCAAGCTTTCAAACAAAAGAAGGAAAAATTCTAGGAACAGAAAAATCCAACTGCCAAGTACACAGAAAAGAGAGGTTTTTAATTTTGTTAGGGAGGAAAACCAAGACTGTGCTGAGGAAAGGGAGAAAAGAGAAGACAGAAGACTAAACAAATCAGAAGTGCCACGTGTTCAATCACAGTAGGGAACACTCTAAAGAGGAATGAGAGTGAGAGCTGCATGCCCTGCAAAAGTAATGTACACATTTGGGAACAAGATTTTCCAGATCAGGACCCTTGGCTCTCTTACTGCATTGCTGGCTGAGAAGAATTTGCTGGTTTCAGCTGAGATACCAGACATGCAAGTTGGACTAAGATATAATAACCAGGTGCAATAACAGAATGCTTGCCAGTGGGGTAGATAACATGGAAACATGGGAAACACCTGAAGTCATTTTCAAAACAGAGGCAGCTATTTTCACTCACTTGAAAAACAAGTTCTTTTTGGTCCAAATTACTGTCTGCTAATAGCACATATTATGAACCAATTAGCAGATAGCAGAGACAGTGGGACATATCCTTTCTCGTGTCAATTCCTATGCTTCCCTTTGTTCCAGGTCCAGTTTACATCAGTTAACTCTTGCAAGTGACACCACCAAATTTTGTGCTGGCAATAACACCAGGCATGTAATCCATCAAAGAGCTGGTGACAGATGCACTAATCCATAAGCCACTTGTTCTAATAACTGCTGAGAACCTGAAAAAGGGAGAAATATGGGGAACATGCATCTTATAGTAGTCTACATGATACCTGGTGATACCCATCCCTTGGCATGAGTCTATAAGCATAGGCTGCAGACAGTGGAATTAAGCATTTTTCCCCCTCCTGTCAGGGTGTCTGTGCAGGACCAGAGAGTGCAAATCCTCCGGGGATATCCAGGAATTGATTTGTGAAGTGAGATGTAAGTGCTTCACTGGAGGTTTTACCTGTCTGACTCCTGTCACAAACAAGTTGAGTGCAGACAAGAGGTTGTCTCAGACTATAAAGGCCAATCTTTTCATTCTTTCCTACTGCTGACATTTATCCCCTTGCTCTAACAAGATTTGCAAATCAGAAAAGGAATTCTACTATGAAGTATCTTAGCTTTAACCAAGGGGCATGCAAAACAAAATCATAAAGTATATGTTTGCCTCAGCACCAGCTGCATCATTGCACAAAAGATGAAAACATCTTCTAGAATATATCACAACACTAAGTTCTGGTTGCTCTGCAATCATATTCACTTTAAAACTATATTTTAGCTATACATGAGAATAAGACAGTATGTGAAAACTCTCATAGAACCACAGTTTTGACCACTTTCAACCTCCTCCCCATTGAAATCTTCATTCCTCTCCTTTTGTATTCTTCTGCTCATGCTTTTAATGTTATTCTTCCTTTCAACAAGATTATCAGCATCTTTTTCTAAGCCAAGATAAATGAGTATGATTGCTCTGTCCTAGACAAGGTCCACCAGCAATCACACTATCTTTTTAATCAAAATCACCAGTCAACCAAAATGTGTTTCCAATGAAATTGTACCTTTCTTTGATAAAACACTTTCTATTAGTTTTATCAAGGTTTTCCCTGCTGCTGATTTTGGCTGATATGTTTGTAATTGACAACTTGACACAAGTCAGTACCTTTTCCGAATATTAATGGTACAATATAATCCCTAAACCTTAGAAATATAATGCTAAAAGCTAAAAGTGTTATTTTTTCCCTCTCTGAACTCAGAGAAATGGTGTCAAGACTTTTAGACTTGACTTGCAGCTGCGGTAATATTAAAACTAAAGGAGCTCTGCTAAGCCTCACCTTAAGGTGGGCAAATCACACACCAGGATAGTCATGAGAGGATAACCGGACAGTTTTGGCCAGCAGGATCAAGCTGCCAAAGATTACTAACTCACATTGTCCATATTTACTATCAGGCTACATCAATATTCTCTTTGAAGACTCAGGAGAAATTGCTTTTTTCTCTACCTTCTAGCCTCCTTGTCAGGCAAGATCATTCCTTAAATGGGCAGAATTCCTGGGGTCAATGGAAAATTTTGCAGAGCGTGTGAAACCAGGCAACACCAGAGACAAAATATCAATATGAGTGGTTCTTCTTTATTACCCATTCCCAGTTCCCATTTATCAGAGGACTGGTTATCTCTCCTCCTGCTCTCACTGCAATACACTTTCAGCTGTGTATTGCAAACATGCAGCCAGGGCTTTTGTTAGCTGTGTAATTAGAAGCCATTGTTTCTCTGTTTAATTTCTCTTTCTGTAAGATAGCTCCCAGTCATTACCAGACAGCAGTTGTGCTCTTATTACTGACCCTGCTGTCTAGATACCTATTCACATTTATTATCCACTCACTTTTCCAAATAAGGACCTTAATGAGGACAAGAATAGTCATTATCCCTACAATTGTGTATTAAAATATTTTAAATTTAAAATTCAAATTGTAAGCAGTGAGAGGTTCAGAATCCTCTTTTAAAATATGTCCTTTATGACCCTGTGAAATAATTCAATAGTAATGATATTTTCGCAGTCACTCAAATGCTGATTTTTTATAACCTCTGACTTACATATTGCAGAAGGTTTATTTCCTTGGGTTATATCCAAAATGGCTTTTGACTATTCAACAAATTAAAAAGTTGTTGTTTAAAAAAAAAACAAAACTAAACAAACGAAATTAATTTGGGCTTAACACTAGAAATGTGGTCACAATGTTTTTTAAAGGTTGTTATTTCCCTCAACTAAATATCATTACAATTACATAAAAACTGGGGGTTTTTTTTCCATTCTGGAGGAATCTCTTAATGATAAAGATTTCATGATCTCCTGTCACTATCATGAGGATATAGACAATCCCAAACAAACAAACAACAGGTCCCCTCACCACGTTCAGCATTCATGACTTCCATCCCAGTTGTCCCTGCTGTGTCAGCCAGAAGAAATGCATCACTTCTCTCCATCCATCAATGCCCTCTCTCCACACTTGCTTTGTTTGCCTGTTCTTTAGGAAAGCTTGCACTTCAGCATTTTCCCTTCCGAAGGAGGCTCTGCAGAGCCGCACTGCCAGGCACCATGGCAGGAGAGCAGGTGAAACAAGCCCACACTGCGATGTCCTGGGAGGTGGGACCAGCCCATCAGCTACACACACACACCTGATGCACAGAGGCTCTGATCTTCCAGGGAAAAAACACTTTATTTACCATGGTCATAGTCTGGATGAATATGCCTAGCTAGCAGTACTACTACTGGATAAATCTGGAGATGGGATTGAGCATTTTTCTTCAGTTTTAAATCAGATCTTGGTGGCCAAGAAACCCTTCCCATATGCTGATCTTTTATTTAGAGGGGGCTGTAACAGTAACATGTTAAAATAACCCGGTTATGTTTGTTACAGGTTTTAGCAAATACTAACAAGCACCATTTTCTGCTTTGCACACAGACCTCCAGTACTGGCCTGGGGATCTGAAGAGATAATTGGATTTATTGTCCACCAGAGCCCACACTGAGAAGGTTATAATTAGTTATGAAGATGCAAATGTCTAAGCCCAAGTATCATCTTGCACAAGCTGCTGTACAAGAGAGTGAAATCTCCTGAAGACACCTAATTTAAAATGTATTCATACTAGCAACATAGATGAAAGTACAGACAAAACTGTCAGTGATACCTGGCATATTATCCCATAAAATTTGCCTCCATATTTGCAGAACTGCACCATCACAATTCATTGGAATTACCATTTCAAGACACCGTTAAATTCTCCTTTCCTGCCCTTATTTCACCTAAATTGTTCAAATTCTCCTCTATTTTTACTTCAACAGCAAAGTTTTTTGCTAGAGTCAAACCAGGACATGGCATGAACACTTATCAAAAAATATATTAGCCTAAACAGGTGTATTTATAGATTCATTTGTTTTTGTGAAAACAATTTGTACCATTCATTCCAGTTCCTAACGTGGACAGCTCTTTGCTGACTCAGAAGCTTGCATTTGCAAAGCTTTTCCAACTGATTCCATGCTGAAAATATATCTCTCCTCTATCAAAAACAAACAAACAAACAAACAAAAAAAGCCGCAAAACAATCAATTCCCCTAATTTTATTGACATTTCTCCAGTAAGCTGTCCTTCCAACAGCCAGGAACAGTTCTTTCTTTGAGAATCAGAAAGTAAATTCCTATCTGTAACATTGCAAAGATGCCCCCAGCTCCATGCTAAACAAGTCAGTAACAAGCCAGGAATTCAAAGCACATTAGGTCTGGCTCTGACAACAAGGCTATAATCAAGCAAGATGAGAGATCTGATGACTCAGCAAATTAAATTTCCATAAGGATTCGCTTTCATTGACTATATTAACATCAACAGATGAGAAAATCTCAGAAGTCACAACACCAATTAGGGAATTTTAATGAGGCGCACAACAGAGGGGAAATCAAGTCAACAACTTACCTTCTATTTCCCTTATTTCAATCAGTTAATGCATTAATCAGCAAGTCAACAGCATTCATGGCAGAAACCTCTGGGGCTGAACATTTTGCATTGCATGCACAGCAAGTCCCACAATGCAGAAATGCAGGGCTTTTGGGCCCTTCTATCCCCACACCTCCAACAGCTGGCTCAGTGTGTGAGAAACCAGGCTTCTCCCTCCTCCCAGGGCAGGTAGCACCCACTGGGTAGGCAGAGAGCACCTGCAGCCATCCCACAGCCCAGGCAGTGAATAAATTAATGTACAGCTTCATTCAGCACCAGAGGTGGCAGAATGGCAGAATGGATATGAAAAGAAAGCAAAAACTCAGGCTTTCTTGTAATTTCTTTCCATTATGTCAGGTAAAAGTACAAGTTCTTTAGCAAAAGAAACCCCTGATTAAAAAGTAAGGGGAGCCAGTACTGAAATTAAAAACATTAGCCAGGAGAATTTAGGACTTGTGAAAGGCTCCAGCCCATAAATCTATTCTCTTCCTGTAATGTGCCCCAACTGAGTCACAGTCATGCTTCAAAAGGCAGAATCAGAACAATCCCTCTTCCCTAGCCCTCCACGCATGGTGGTGGGGATGTATCACATTCCCACAATATACAGCCTCTGGTCTTGTCCCAGCCCTCGGGTCCTGCAGCATTCTCAGAGGACCCAGACTCAGTGTGACAGCTTGCAGGCAGCCTTGTTGCCTAGAGATGGTATCCCCTCCTTCTTATATCCTAAATAAATTCATTCTATGCCCTATCTGCCCACAGTAGTTCTAATGGAACAATAAACCCTCACAGCCCATCCCCAGACTGGCCTTCATTTACGCAGCCACAATCCCTGCAAGGCTCTGCTCTTTAGGGCTGTCATAGAAGTCTCTAATCCCTTTTTCCTTCCAAGTACACTCATCAAGGCATGGGAAGAATAAAGCAGAACAAGTTCCAATTAAAGCTTAGGGGATTTTTGACCTGACCAAACAGCAGACTTGCTTTGAGCTGCTGGGGGCTTTTCCCGCCTGGCTCCTTTGATGAAATGGAGATCCACATGTGGAGATGGCCAAGGGAGCACCCAGCAACCTGCTGGTGCAAAATGGTCTGAAGATTGTGTGCACCTAAGAGGCAGGGGTTGTGTACACCTAACCTCTTCATTGTCAGCTCCTAAGTGGCCTATTCTGAATACAATCTACGGAAAATGCAGGAAGGAGTTATTCACATGGGCCTTCTCAGGTATCAAACCAAGTAGCTATAGGTTCAGCACATGTTGGGATATCCAGCCCAGCAGGCATCCATCAATCACAGCTTCCCCCCAAGGAGCCCTCTTCCCTCAGTTCATCCCCAAAGAGCCACTCCCTGTGCACATCAGCCACTCCTGGCAGGACTGCAGTGCTGTTCACAGGCTGCTTGAGAGACACAACCACTGTCCGAGCAGCTGCCACTCGCTGTTCAGTCCCCCACCACTCCCATCCTGTCTGCATAATTAAAAATCTGTCACCCTCCCTGACTTGGCCAGCAACTGTCCCTCTCTCAGGACAGCGCTCAGCAGACACAGGGCTCTAACAGATGGCAAGACAATGACGCAGTTCGAAATCTAAATGTGATGCCATGAGATGAGAGCAGTGCAGATTTGGTAACAAACTCAGTGCAGAACATTACAACTGTGCAAGCAATAAGGCATAGCTGAAAAACTGAATTAAATGTATCCTCATACACTGGGGAGTCAAAGGATGAAAATAAGAGGCTTACTTCTCCAGAATGTTGCAGTTCCTGTTAAGACTACTTCACATGTTCCCCATTTCCTTGCTAATTGCAAAGCAATATTAATCAGTAAATAGCTCTGCATACAATGCACCAAGCACTGAGAATTAAAAGATGTAGTAGACAGATTTCATTCAAGTAGTTATGCTTCACATACCATCAGCTGTTTCTTGTAGAGGTAATGTACCACAGCTAAAAATGAGGACTAAAACTGTCTTAAACACGCTCTGATTTTGCACCTTGCTGCTTTGCTGAAAGTGAAAGCATGCATGAAAGGATTAAGTAATTGGATCATGTATCACTATCAATATCCAGAGAAGACAGGCTGAAACAAAAGACTAGGGAATGTCTGAGATCATATCAGGATAACTCAAAAGAAAAGCTCAAAAATTAATTTGAAAAACTGTATCAAGATTTCTTCCCTTTTTTATGAGTTTGTTAACTCAAAAATGTTTAAAATACCAGCATATCACAAACATTGTGCCTCCTTCATATCAACCTACATGAGATTATGAGATTTGGTGCTTGAACTTTTGGATAACCAACCAATATACCACATGATGGACAAGTACCTAAACACAATGTGAGTGATTCCCATAGAAAACACTAAAAATGCATTACATATTTCAGCATTTAAACCTTTTATCAGGTCTCCTTTCTGCCTGCAATTAGAGGCAAAGGGCACCACAGAGCTTATTTCACATCCAGCTCTGGTGTTTGCTCTGCTGTCTGTCACCGTCTGCGAGTGACGCTGAATCACCCCAGATCACACAAGAGCACGAAGAAAGTTATCACGTAGGATTTATTACCTGTGCTCCCGTAAAACCTTCAGGGCTATACATGAGGTAGCTGAGAAAGATGGCAAATGTAGAGATACAGACAAGCAGAGCACTGTGCCCTTGTCCCAAGGAAAAGCCACATTATGCCATTTTAGGTAATGTTTCGTTTATTCAGGAAGTGTGAATATGTTTCCTCAGAAAAAAAGATTCAGGTCAAGAACCATGGATTTGGATTTCACTTAAACTCATTTTATAGGGAGCTTTCAAAATGCAGCTATTGTTCCTGTGCTACTCTTTCCCAAGAGTGTTTATCACAACAGCATCTATGGACAAGGCAAGGCTCAGAGCCCACCATGCAAGGAGACATAGGGCAGGTATGGAGAGACCTGCTGGGGAAACTATGAAGGACAGTGCTGATGGATGGAGAAAAGAGCTGCAGGGCAGCAGAATGTACAAGGGAAACGTCTTATTTATTGAAAGCTGTTGCTCAAGCTGTTGCACAACTTGCATGAAGCTGTTGCAGACAAAATCTCCCTTGAATGAGAGATGGCCTCAGATCCAGTTTGCTTCCTTCTAGCCCAAGGCACAACTCATTCAAGACAGACTGGATGTTACTCTTGTGAAATATTTAGCCTCAATTTTAAGACAGAAAAATAGCAACAACAAGGAACCCCCATTACACAGAAACCCTGCAGCTAAAGCTATCAAACAGCATTGACTCCCCACTCCTTCACATAGGCTCACTGGCTCCATCCAAAGATTACTGCTGATCTGGATCTCGAAATTCATTTCTGAATACTGATGGTATCCCTAAGGTGCTTTAGGGCCATGCACTCTGAAGGATTTGGGCAAATTACGTTGTCTTTTAACTGATATCTCTGCCCACGTGTGCTCTGTTCTCCAAGAACACCTGGACACACAGACTCCCTCCATTCCCTCCCTAGGAAGGACAACCTTCCCCAAAGATCCTTCTAAACTCAGTTAAACTGCATGAGAGCAAGTAATTGAAACAGATTCCACACAACATTAAAAAATCAACCCTTAACTACAAATTGAGGTAACATCAAAAAGGTCAAAGACTGAGGCAGGTGAAATCATCTCACAGAAGACTCAGACAGAACAGATTAGAAAAGATTAGAGGGT